TAAATCATTAACAATTCGGTTGTTTTTAACCAACTATCATATGTTTTTCGTTCAAGAAAAATTCAGCTTTGCTTGCCTCCTGAAAACTTTCATTCAATAATTTTATATCTTTCTACAGATAATTTATTTATATATTGAATGAAATGTAAAATTACACCAAACATTCAACTGTTTATTAAGTTGTTCGAGCCATGATTATACAAATGAGCTTAAATTTGTGTTGGCTGACCCGACTGGTCTAATAGTTTTAGTATAAACCTACTAACAGGTCATATAAATGAATACAAACAATGGCCAGGTGAGTTATAATAATCATTTATTTTCGCGTTGTTTTGGTTTTCAGGCTCCAGCATACCAGCACCTTGGGTAACCCAGTGCACGCTCCAAGAGCGTCTTGTTCCTATTACGGAGGACTGATTAGCTTGACCTCGAACTTAAGAAAATAATTAGTTCAGGAAATCGCACGATCTCGAGTACGATTCAAAATTGGACGAGCCTTTAGGGGCGAGTCCATTTTGAGAACTTTCAAAGCATTACGACTATCTATAAATTCCAAATGTATGAGAAGATTGTGCAATTTCCTATACTTGTACTCCTCTTCTCCAATCAGAATAGAGTAATTTTGTTGGGTCTATTATAAATCATTTAGTTTTTCCGATTTTATTTTCAACATTAAAAGTAAATTGGGCTCCCTGTGGATAGACCATTGGTAGGTATATACTCAACATGAGATAGAGTACGTTTGTAGTTGGGGACTGGATAGCTAACTGTCGTTGCGCGTTCCCACCGCCGTGCAAAGATACTAAAAGAACAGTATCAGTCGGGAGACCAAAAACAATCTGGATAGGGAGAATGGAAATGGAGAGGAGAAAAGCTGATTGGAGTTACTGGAATTGTGCAAAACGGTGGAGAAAGATAAACTGAAATGGATAAAGAACAAGTCATTGCAAAGTGAGAACTAATAATGATGATAAGCTAGTATTCTGTACGGACCTGTTGTAAATTCTTCTTTGCCTGTATACCATGTCACGTCTTCAAGGCTGTAACTTGGGATCTCTATGCCTTTTGCTACATTAACAGGGTTGATGGGATGCCATGCAAGAGTCATCTCTTCTTCATCATAGCTAACTAGGGTAGAAAAAAATACATACACATCACAACATGAACAAAAAATAGAATTTTCTGCAAAGCGAGGCATTTTCAATGTTACCTCTCATACTGATCAAGTCAAAATAAATGTGGATAATAAAAATTGATGTTGATTGATGGCCAAACAGGCCCTAATCATGCATTTGAATGTAAAGTTCCAGCAATGTAAACGAAATTCAATTTTGACAACACCCTGACCTTAATTGCCCTAATGATTGAAGACCATCAACATTGAGAAATTATGAGAGATTAACTTATGAGAGATTAACTTATGAGAGATTAACTTATGA